CTCAGACTACAACTTCGAGCTAAGGTATATGAAGCTCTGGCTACGCACTGCAGCTATTGTTGCCCAAGGCTGCAATACATTCCAAACTCTCTCATGTTGGAGTTGCAGCACACTACCTGCCTTATCATATTTACCTAACCTTATTTATTTATTTTGGTTTTATTCATGTGACATGGATAGCCTGGCTAGACCACCATTTATTGCCCATTCCAAATTGACCTGGAGATTTGATGACTAGTTACTCATTCAATATAAAGTTATAGCAATTTACAGTTTTCTAGCTTAAAGACAAAAAGACAACATTCATTTGCCACTGCAGGTAAAAGAAGAATCATTTAAATGGTATCTCCTTTTCCCACTGCACCAGTTAACTGTTAGCTTCTGTTTTCTAGGCACTTTAAATAGGCTTCCAGCTTTTTTTCTGTTTTAAAGTTCTAAATTAGATTCTGTTTGTTAATCTAAGTTACAGTTTGAGAAATATTTAAATGAGAATTCCTACTTTTACTAAACTAATTTTAACATTCAGTTCATGAAGCTCTCTGTGCTCAGACCACTGTGCGCTCTCCACAAATCACTGCTATCAAAGTTCTTTACATGCGGGATAGGGTAGGTTCTGTGGCAGCCAGCACCATGCAGGGCACCATCTCCAGTATTTGGAGGGTGCCAGCAATGAGTCTGATGCTGATAACATTAGAAGGTTTATTGGGGTGAGGTGGAGCATCTGAATATTGGACCTGCAGCCAGAGTGCTTGAGACTGCTGATGGGTGATTGATGGGGATGTGATTCATTGAGTGCTGTGAGGAGTTGATGCTGTGGTGCGTGTGAAATGTAATTATTTCCTGTGAGGATACATCCACTGACCTTGACCACTTGAGGTCAGCATGGACGAGTTGGACCAAAGGGTCTGTTTTCATGCTGTACAACTCTATGACTCTCTGATTTGAGATTACAGAGGGCCTTAAATTAGGTGTTTAGTTTGAATGAAAGCAGCTGTATCAGTGCAATACTGGCATGTCAGTTTATATTTTGTACTAAAATCCTGTTATAGGACTTGGAACTATAACTTACTGAGGATTAAAAGGAAACACCACGTCAGCCAATTGGAAGAAAGATTGCTAATAGCACATGGAGAATGGCATCTTCTTTTCCCAAGCTCTGAACTGATTTGTTCTTGCTGTAATGTTGACTGCTGTATCCGACTTTTCATGCTGTTTTGCATGTTAACACAGACACCAACACAACTAGACTCTCATAATCTTGGCGTTTATTTAATAGATGTAGACAGCAAAATATTTTAGTTAATCAGCGGCAAAATTTCACATCTACATGTATACAGAGAAGTGATGTCTTTGTGTGCAAAGATTTAAAAATATTATAATGCAAAAGACAAATTCATAATTGAATAAGTGAAATGGCATAGTGTTTGCATATCAATTTTTTTTTTGTTTTTGTTCTCCTGAAAGCCTGTGGATCCTAATTTGCCTTTTTACATGCTTGATAGATAGTTGGTGCTACATCTGTTATCCATGATTAATCTGTTATTGGGAGCCAGTATTCAGTATAAAACAAATTTGGCACCAGAACTCTGAAACAATCCTCTCAAAGGCATTCAGAGTAGCATCTAGTGAGTGTACAAATCGTTTTGTACCTCATTTTGTGGCAACCTTCTAAATATTTAAATTGTGTTTGCAAAGAATGTGTATTAATAAGTAATTTCCAAAGCTTTCTTTTCCTAAAATGCTAACTGTAAAATAGGGGACAAGCAACTCTTGCCATGAAGCAAAAGCCTAGCATGTGGAAACACATGAACAACTTGCATTTATATGATGCCTTTTAGGTATTGAGGGAGGCGATAGCCTAGTGGTATTATCGCTGGACTGTTATTCTAGAGACCCAGGTGGTGTTCTGGGGACCTGGGTTTGAATCCCGCCACAGCAGATGGTGGAATTTGAATTCAATAAAATATCTGGAATTAAGAACCGAATGATAACTGTGAATCCATTGCTGATTGTCGGAAATACCTATCTGGTTCACTAATGTCCTTTAGGGAAGGAAACTGCCATCCTTACCTGGTCTGGCCTACATGTGACTCCAGACCCACAGCCATGTGGTTGACTCTTAACTGCCCTCTGGGCAATTAGGGATGGGCAATAAATGCTGCCTAGCCAGTGATGCCCTCATCTTGCGAATGAATAAAAGAAAGGTAGGAAATGACAAGAAAATATGCTGAAAGTACACAATAAAATAGCACTTTGCAGATACTGGCATGTTGAAGAGGATGAGACTTTGCACAGGCGGAATATGCTGAATAAAGAAATACAATCACATCCTTATTATGATCACAATGTACAATTACTATTGAATTCAGTGACAATGTTTTACCCAGTCAGTTTTAAATTTAAAAACTGCTGCTCAAATGTCTTATTTTTTGTATCTTAGCTAGGTGCTATTAATCAATCTGAGGGGAATGAGAACCTTAGTCAGTGGCAAAATGATGAGTCGGTCAATGAAGTAAGATAACTTTTAAAGCAAGTGGAAGCTTAAGTTGGGAGTCGATAAGAATAGCAAACAAATTCTAGAATTGTAACTTTAACAGCTTTTTGCTTCACTAGTTATTCTAATACCCTATATGCTTTGGTACATCACACAGACCTTCTGATGTTTGATTTTGCTTTTGCATTGGAGGTTATTACATCCATAGTTTGAGTTGACGATCTAAATTAATTTGAGAATATAAAGTAAGATACTTTCCATCAACTGATGTTTATGAATGTTAGGATTCGGCTTTACAACAGTGACAAGTGGGTCAAGGGCGTAAAGATGCCATTGGTCTAAATACAAAATCAATGAAATGATTCCTAGTACAATCCAGCAAGTGAATTTCCAAACATGAAGCAGAAATATGAAGCGATCGCTATGCTTTGGCCAGCCGGTGCTATCATGTTGAGTTCCCCTAGCCGCACCTCCACCTCTTAAAGAAACTCATCCTCCACATTTCCATTAAAAGTTCACTGGAGTCAGAGTCCCTGAAATTTGATGTACTCTTCTTGCTTATGGCTGACACATTGAATTCCGCACTTCTTGCTCTTCCAATGTTGCTTTTGTACCTTTATGCAACTGCAGTTTTACATTTCGCTGCTGCAAGAGATCTGTGCTTCATGACTGAGGTTTTTGGAAAAACAGAGCAAGTGGATACCAGGGACCCACCTGATGTGGTGCTTTCGTCAGCCTACCCTATACCATAGAAGTGCCTGGCACTAACTACACAATCCCTGACAGTGTCAATATTAGAAGACACAATGGAGCACAAGTTTGTGCTACCTCTGAGGTCCAAACCCAAGCAAATTCAGGAGTAACTAGTTGACATAGACAATGATCAACATTTACGGTAGACTATCCATGAAGACAGTGCGAGAAGGGAAAAAATGTCAGGAGAATTGTATAGATATGTGAGACTGGAGTTGCAAATATTCAGTTGACAACCCATCAATCTTGGAATAAAACTTTTGTTTTCTGAATTCTTTTTAAGATAGGAAATGGGGCATCTGATTGGAAGACTGATGGAAGTAACTATGAAATGAATGCACTTCAATCAAACTTGGCATTTATTTAATTGAATTATTGAAATGTTTAACTTGAAATTGACTTTAAAAAAAATTGCTCATGAGATGTGGCCATCATTGGCTAGGCCAGCAGATATTGCCCAGAAGACACTCAAAAGTCAATCACATTTCTGTGGATCAGCAACTATATATAGGATGGCAGATCTTCTTCTTTAAAGGACATTAGTGACCCAGATACATTTTTCTATCAATGATTATGTTGCTGATATTAAGATAGCTGTCCAATCCAGATTTTTCTTTTAAATTGATTTGTAACTTCACCGCCTACCTTGGCAAGATTTGAACCCATGTCCCCAGAATTGTGCCTGTGGTTCTGGAGTACTCATCCAGTGATATTACCACTCCATTACTGTCTCCCTGACTTAAATAAGATCATAAGACTGCAGGTAGGCTTACTTAGCTAAAGCTCTGGAGACATGACCTTTGCAGTTATTCCAGCAAAAGATAAACAATTTGTGTGGTTTCCCAGAGATGAGGAAGGTTTTGAACTAAAAGGTAGTTAATTTGCATTAATATTTGAGAACATGCTATTACACACTGCATAGCCAGGGAGATTGCTGGAGCTTAGTGATATTCTTTGTTTCATGTTTACCTCTGTGGGTTTGATGAGGGGAAAAGCTAACAGGCAAACTGATTGTTTTTTCTCCCCCACTGCAAAGCAGCCTAGAAAATGTCAGGTTTTGGTCTTTTGTAGCTTATAGTTGCCTGGAAGTTGAGAGATTAAGCCAAATCTATACCTGAAATGGAGTTATTGCTACATCTGTTGACCTTGATGCAGCCTGCGATTGGGAGCTGGTATTCAGTCCAAGATAAAGTTGGTAAAGGGAGGAACAACTGGAAGATTTATTTAGCTTGAAGTTAAAGGAAGAAATTTTCTGTAATCCTCTTAATGAAATGCTGTTAACCTTGATGCATTTGGAGTTCTGGAATTAATCAGCTGGCTGAATCCATAGCAATGGACTATTAGAAGCCAAGGGTTAATTTTTAGTTTTAAGCCACTCCCCAGTCATAGGGATGCCTGTGTTTGAGCCCTGAAATCAGTGAGGTAAGGTCGGTGAAGCACTTGGCGGATCACTTAAACAAATGTTTACTTGGAAGGACACCCCACAACATCTTGAACCAGCTGTGACACTGATGAGTAATGCAAATTCTAGAGAGCTGTGATATACCATTTGAGTTTGTTTTTAGCATGGTAGTAAGGAAGACAAGTGAAGTGTAGTGTTAGACTTTCCAGTTTTGTTTTAGTATGCCAGTTGCTATTGATTCATGTTCTGAATGGTTATCTCTGTTCTGTTTTATCATGCTTGACCTTGAGAGAAGGAACTTGTGTCATGGTCCATAGACATAAAATTGGCAACCTTCTTTTTGTCTTTCAGTGTCATACACATTACATCCCTGTCTGTGCATCCAATGGAGATACTTATCAGAATGAATGTTTCATGAGGCTAGCTGCATGCAAATATCAGAAAGAAATCACAGCAGTAACCGAAGGCTCATGTTATACAGGTGAGTACTACATGTTAGAAAATTGAACTTGTGTGCAAAAAAAAATTACTTTAAACTATGCTTTTTGGGATGTCTTAAATATTGTTTTTTTTCATTGGAAATGAAAATATATATGACAAATAACTTTCTTAACAGCATTACTAATCATATATCAGGTATGGACTATTTTATCCAAAGTATATGGAAATGGGGTAGGGAAACAAAGTATCATCCCATTCCAACAAACAGCACAGTAAAGTGTCCCAGAGATAGTAAGAACTGTTGATGCTGGAGTCAGAGATAACACAGTCTGGAGCTGGAGAAACACAGCAGGCCAGACAGCATCAGAGGAACAGGAAAGCTGACGTTTCAGGTCGGGACCTTTCTTCAGGAATGGGGGAGGGGAAAGAGAGCTCTGGAATAATATTTATTTCAGAGGTCCCTTCTCCCTCCTCTATTTCTAAAGAAGGGTCCTGACCTGAAACGTCAGCTTTCCTGCTCCTCTGATGCTGCCTGGCCTGCTCTATCAAACCAGTTTCAGTTTGTTCCTTTTTACAGGACATGTGAATCCCCAATTAATGCCAACCACCTGCATACAATTAAATAAAAATAATTTATATACTTCATAGATTCCTCTTCCACTCTTGAAATAAAAGTTTCTGGGTGTGCAAACAACATTTTGGAACAAATTAAATTAAGGCCCTCCATTTTTTTACAAAGCATTACACTGTGAGACTGCCATCATCTAGGACATTAACAATCTCTTTGAATGTGTATTCCTTTTTGTAGAACAACATGACAGTTGATGTCTTAGATCTTCATATTTATATTTAGAGATTTATTTTCCCTCCGTCATTTGACCAGAATGTTAACCCTTCCACATGACAATTTTGGTCGTAGTGGGCATTTAATCAAGCTGCACGTATATTCAGCAAGGCCTAAATTTAATCAGGCTTTCTTGAGTTAAGAAAGGAGAGTGAGTTTATTAATTGCTATTCTGTGGAGATATCGATGCCGGTGGTTTTGCAGGCTATTGAAGATCCTTTATCCTGATTCAATTTTTTAACTGGCTTGCAGCACTTGTGCAAAAGTCTTTACCTGCAACACAGAGATAACTAGGGATAGTTCTTTGACTGATTGTCACAGCACGGGAATACTCAAACCCAAGCCCCTACATGAGTGTTCAACCTCACTCGTCCGCTCCAGCTAAGTTGAAACTGGCTTTTTTTAAATAGTTTTATTTTCTGGAGGGTAAAACAGACAGATCTGTAAGAAGTGGTCTTCTGCAAAGAAGAGAGAAGTAGGCAGCGCACCTCATTATCTCTTCTTGTTAAATCTCTCCCTATTTGAAACTTCCCTGTTAATTTACAAGTGTTTCATTCCTTTGACTTTACACCGGACTTTACCAGACAGTCGTTGAATTTAAATCCACAGTTTTTCCATAGTAATCCTTTTAAAAATAGCACATTTTGGAAATAAAGTAAAAAAAAGTCTATGAATACTTCTGGTTTCAGATCCGTCATTATAACACAGATAATGACAACCGTCTCAACAAGAGAGTTTAAATATCACCCCTTGATGTTCACGGAAAGAACTACAGATGCTGTAAATCAGGAACAAAAACAGAAGTTGCTGGAAAAGCTCAGCAGGTCTGGCAGCAAAAAGACCCTGAGGTTCCAGTTGCCTGCCACTTCAATACATTACCCTGTTCCCTGGCCAACATCTCTGTCTCAGGCTTGCTGCAGTGTTCCAGTGAAGCTCAATGCAAGCTGAAAGAACAACACCTCATTTTCCGCTTGGGGACCCTGCAGGTCTCTGGACTGAATATCAAGTTCAATAAATTTAGGGCCTAAACCCTCCCACATCCTAGCCTCCTATCCCACATACCAAGCCTTTACACACTACCCATTGTTGGTCACTAACAGTCCCCATTAACAGCTATTCACCCTCCTAACCAGGTCGTTATCAACCCTTTGTCTATCCAACTGCTCTTCTCTCTCTTTGGACTCTATCCCCACCCATCATTCACTCCCTACCCCGTCCCCCTCCCTATCTTCTGCATATAAACTGACGTTTCCCAGCTACCATCAGTTCTGAGGAAGGGTTGCTGGACTTGAAACATTAACTCTGATTTTTTTCTTCACAGATGCTGCTAGACCTGCTGAGCTTTTCCAGCAACTTCTGTTTCTTTTTAACCCCTTGATGTTCAATAGCATTACCATCCCTGAATCCCCCATGATCTACATTCTGGGGATTATCATTGACCAGAAACTGAACTGGACTAGTCTTATAAATACAATGGCTACAAGAGCAGGTGAGAGACTGGGAAGTATGTGGATAGATTCGATAACATGGCAGGTAAGGATGCTGCCGCCTTCTTCCCTCCACCCCAATTAAGTCATTGGCAGGAACGCCCATGGTGAATACTCATTTGTAAGACGAGTGTTTGCAGTGAGATATCTCTGGATAGTATCGCCTGCAGAAATGCAACCTTTATGTCAATCAACCTGCACTCCCATGAATGTGTGGCAAAAAGAACATAAAGGTTTTTTAGGATTAAATTTGCAGTGAGGGAGAGGGCCCTCTAATATCTGTATCATCCAGTTGCTCTTCAAAATTCCAACTAAGGAGCCTCACCTGAGCCTTAAATCCCATTTGCACCATCCCTGTCCCCTGCTTGCAATTAAACGTAATGATTATAAGTAGCATTGCTCAATTCAGTAAGTATGAATTAATAGAATTGGAATGTCCCATTTGGAGGTCAGTGGGATCCCATATCTCACGAGTCCTTTTATACGTCAAGGGCATGTGCTTGCACCACTGGCGGTACATTTACCATTATTGATTCAGTAGCACTGAAGTAGGCAAAGGTGACCTTGTCACTCTTTCTCTGGAAGATCCTCTTCCATGCTGGGCATTTAATATGGAGGCTACTTGGTCCCTTGGGAATGGATTGTTGTTTGAAATGCTTATGTGCTCCACATACTGTCAAGATCAGCACTTTCTTTCAGGCAGTTTCTAGATTCCATTGAGAGTCCAGGAATGCTTCCACATCTGCTCTGAAAATGATCAAAAGACCATAAGATGTAGGACCAAAAGTAGGCCATTCAGCCCATTGACTCTGTTCCACAATTCGATGAGATCACGGCTGATCTGATAATTGTCAACTCCACTTTCCACTTACTCCACATGACCCTGAATTCCCTTGATGCTGAGATGTAGGGGGCTCATGGAAGAAGCAGCTACTTCTTTTTAGACTTTCCATTACGAGTTCCAATCAAAGTATTTTTAGAATATGTGCAGTTCACTGTCTATACCATAACATCATTCTGGGTTTGTTTACAGTTCTGATCAAATCAAATTTATATCTTTGTCATTCAAGTTCCTGTTGCCAAATTTCATAAATTGAACCACATACTAAGAATTTAGGTGTAGCATGTCAATCTCACAGCTCCAACAACATTCCATTCTTTGAAATTAATGTGATTCTGATCCCAAAGTCTTGGTTCACATTTCTGTTTGTGAAGCCTTGTAACAGTGGTGCAAATTCATGAAATTGACTCTTGAGAATAAATCATGAACTAATTAATTCACGGTATCCCACAATGTGGAAAATGTTACATAGACTATTAAAAGAAGAAATTTGAGAGGTTGTATAATTTGTTATTCAATTGTGTATGTTAGCTTATTGGCTGCTTGAAATAGATTCCAATTTTTTCAGTAAAATATTCATTTCTTGTCACACTGAAACAGGCAGTCTGTTCTGATTTGTATACTCAACTGTTTTATCAGACATTGTTGTCCCATTTAAGTAAAGAACAGCAAACATCAAGCTATCAACAAGATATAATAAAAATGAGCTGCCAATATTACAGCCTAATGAAGTTTATAGTGCTTATAGCACAGAAGCAGATTATTTGTATCTATTCTTCAACAGGAGCTGTGTACTCCAATTGAATATTGATATCCTTTTATATATTTTCTTTACAAAAAACCCACCAATTCCCATTTAAATTATGTTGTAGTCTTTGCCTTAAATGGTAACATATTCATGTTTCAATAATATCTTCTAAATTGATACTCCCAAATTTATAACTTTATTAATTGATTTGCCAGCCAGAAGAGCAGCATTTCACTGTTTATCATCTCAACCTTTTCATAAATTTGAGTCTTGATTAGATCACATCTTGCACTGACAAAAGACGAGGTTTTAAACTTTTGTTTTAGTATCTGTGTTCTTTCATTCCTGTTATAATTTAAACAAATCTTCACTGCACACGTTCATGGCTCTGATATTCTACTTATGCCCAAAACAACGTCTGATGCTCCAGCTGTATCTTAACTAGTGACTCTTACTGATTCTGTGACACTTCCTTGCTTTGAAATTCATTACTCCTATCACTAAAATCCAGAATCTCATTTATCTTTCTTAAAGTATTTTCTACCAATAGTTTCACCTTTAAAAATCCTTGCAATTGTACCCCTAGATATCTTTGTTACACTGTGGTATTAAGATTCTTATGCTTAGGCTATACTTGCTTTCACTGTTTCATTCCCCAAAGGAAATTGCTTCAGAGTAAATTAGAAGCTGTTGTAATATTTCATACATAACATTTTGCTACTTGTTCACCAATTACTGTCAGCTTGGGCTCAGTTGTAGTGTTCCCTTCTCAGAGTCATGAGTGAAGGATTACTACATTGTTGGATGAGATATTAAACTGAGGTTCTTGTTAGGTAGACATAAGTGATCCTATGGCACTGTTCAAATAAAAACCAAGATTAAAAGACAGATTAACTGATCATTTAAATTGGTAATTTGATGTGCACAACATTGACCTGCCAATCACTTCATGATTTTCTAAGTATCCTACTATAGCTTTATTAATAATAGATTCTAGCAATTTCCCAAGGACCACTGTGAGGTGAACTGGCATATAGTTTCCTGTTTTTCCTGTCTCCCTCTTTTCTTAAATAAAGGTTTTACATTGGCTACTTTCCAACTTACTGGGCCCCTTCCAGAA